AGCAGGAAGATTTGGGATAAAACTTTTTTCATGGTAATCAGTATAAAATCAGTCATTCCACTATACCAATTCTTGAGTGCTGGTGGTCTCCTTTAGACATGAGATGGAAGAGTTTCTGAACCTCTCAGGGCACATTCTGACACTCCCTTTTTGGGTGTTTGCGCTTGTTGTGAAGAAAATCGAAAATAAAAATAGAAAAGGAAAATATCTGTATCATGGAATCTCCAAGCCAAAGGATGCTTTAGATGAATGCTCCCTACCTTTTTCATGTCATGGCACCCATAGAAAATGCTAAGGTCATGCATACACACATATACGGCCTATTGAAGTAAACAGACAGGGATGCAGAAACAGCAGCGTGGGGCCTCCAGCACTCGCAGGCCCTGTGCTGCCACTCCAGTGGTTGAAGTGGTCAGAATCTTGCTATACCTGCCACGCATCTGCTGCAAGTGGTGTCCTCAGCAAACTGCATGGGAAGCTCTGCCTTCTAGTATGGTTGCCCGAAACGTGTCATACTGATGTATATGAATAAGTGGGACGCAAGCAGTTAAACAGAAATTAATGATCATATATATTTTTTATTTTAAAATGTTGGTTTTTAATTTTAGTAACGTTAGATTGTCCCATTCAAATGAAGTGTATTTTAATTTAAAAAATTACTCGCTATTTAAGGAGAATTAAATTCATAATAGGACAGGTAGTATGTGGCTATAACAAAAATTGTACTGTTGGCATGCTGGTGATTAAAATTTGGAAAACCCAGCCTTAGATCATTTCTCATTTTGTAGATGAAGAAAGCAAGGCCTGAGGAGGTTACAACTTCACTAAGGACACAGGACTAATTAGTAAAGGCTAGGATGATGCTTTGTTATTTCTCTTTGTTTCCTGCAGGATGTTCTCTACTTCCCAGCTCTAGTCATTTTGATGTCAGCTTTACCATTTTTGCCATATCCATGTAACAGCTGTGCTATCATGTACTTAATATTTTTCATTAAATTGACTCCTGATTTTTATTTAAATTTATTTAAAAAGGAATCTTTATATTACTGCCATAAATGTGTCATTTGCTGTAACTGGAAAGCAACTGTGAAGATAATTACACTGAAGACACTAGCTGAGATGGTATTGCCTGGCTGGTTCTGAGCCTCAGGTCTATTCTCTTACTGTTAAAAGATTTACAACTGTGAGATACAGGTTAAAGACATTCTAGCACCAGACTGAGACTTTCTTCTCTTTATATATAATCAGGATTGTTAGAGAATTGAAAAGGGAATTGACTCTCACTCTGAACCAGTGTTTCTAAGTCCTGTTTACTTGTATCACCTGAACCGATCCTTTATGCCAAACTATGGCCCATGGGCCAAGCACCGGTTTGTTTGTTTTTATTGTTAAGATTTTTTTTTTTTGATGTGGACCATTTTTAAAGTCTTTATTGAAATTGTTACAATATTGCTTCTGTTTTATGTTTTGGTTTTCTGGCCCCGAGGCATGTGGGATCTTAGTTCCCCCACCAGGGATCAAACCCGCACCCCCTGCACTGGAAGGCGAAGTCTCAACCACTGGACTGCCAGGGAAGTCCCAAGCACCTGTTTTTGTAAATACATTGTTATTGGAACACAGATCAGTTATGTATTATCTGTGGCAGCTTCTGTGCTAACAGTGGTAGAGGCAAGTAGTTGCAACAGACACCATATGGCCTGAGAGCCTAAAATATTTGTTCTCTGGATCGTTACAGAAAAAAATTTGCCTGTCCCTTCCCCAGAATGTTAATGATCCTTGGTGGACAATATAACATTAAAAGGACATGTAGAGGGCTTCCCTGGTGGCGCAGTGGTTGAGAGTCCGCCTGCCGATGCAGGGGACACGGGTTTGTGCCCCGGTTCGGGAGGATCCCACGTGCCGTGGAGCGGCTGGGCCCGTGAGCCATGGCCGCTGAGCCTGCGCGTCCGGAGCCTGTGCTCCGCAACAGGAGAGGCCATAGCAGTGAGAGGCCCGCATACCACACACACACACACACACACACACACAAAAAGACATGTAGAATCTTTTTGTCTTATTTCAAAATTTTAGTTAATTTTTCTTAATACTGAATTGAGGCATTTGCATTCTAGGAGAACACCACCTTAGTACACCCTCTTCTTGTCACTTTTGTACATGCCCTTTGTCACTGGATACTTAAGGCAATGCCACCTGGAGGTGACTGTCTACATTTCTGATGTAAGCATCTTACTATCATTTTTTTCCTTTTTTTGTACATATGACTTAGTAGGGTCAGAATAACATACTTTAGCAACTTAAACGTTTAGGTGTTTATGGATCTCAACAATGGGATTTTTGTTAGAAGCAGTTGCTAAAGCAGTGGCATTTCTTGTTGCAGCATCCTGGAGACTTTGTACTGCGCAGGATGTTCACTCAACCTCGGCTACATATACAGGTGCACACCCAGGAATCTAGACTACAAGAGGGACTTGTTCTGCCTCAGTGTTGAAGCCATTGAAAGGTAAGTTTGATGTATAAATGCATAGCTCATAAGTGCATTCTCAGAAACTTGCAGAAAAATTGGTATGAAAACATCGAAACTAAATCAACACTGGTTAAAATATATTTTTAAGTAACTTCTGACAATAAAGCTAGTGATTTTTTTTCTTTTTTTTGCGGTACGCGGGCCTCTCACTGTTGTGGCCTCTCCTGTTGCGGAGCACAGGCTCTGGACGCGCAGGCTCAGTGGCCATGGCTCATGGGCCCAGCCGCTCTGCGGCACGTGGGATCTTCCCGGACCGGGGCGTGAACCCGTGTCCCCTGCATCGGCAGGCAGACTCTCAACCACTGCACCACCAGGGCAGCCCCGCTAGTGATTTTTTTGTTTGGACCCGATTTATTTGCTATTGGAAAAGTCTGTCATTCTAAATTGTAGGAGAAAACACTGAGAACATTTTTCAGAGTAAAAATATGTTGTTTTTCTTAACAATCGAATTGAGTTTAATAGGATTTTTTTTTAAAAGCCATTGTGTGGATCAATATATTTTGCCCATTTTATTTTTCCCTCTAGTTTTTAGTCTCCTAGAATATCATAAAGAAATAGGACAGAAATGGTCAGGAAAGAAGTCCCTTTGGTGTTCTGGAAAAATAGAAGTACAAAGTCCAACTATTTCCTTGAGGGTGGTAAATAATTGTCTGCTCTTTTTGAGAGATGCAAGGAAGTACCTTCATTTTTCAAGACTTCTAAAGAGCGTGAGGAGACCAGGTGAATTAGGGTCTGATGACAGATACCTTAATGGCCCTCTAATTCACTAGCCTTTTTAAAACAGGAAACAATCAGTTGACCCCAGTGTATTTTCACATATCCTGGAAAAGATGTAACCCTTAATATTTTAAAGATGCCTAGGAAACCTTAAGTGTCAGGAAAGAAGAACAATTTAAGAAGAAAAGAAAAATGCCTACACTTTCATTACTCGAGGTATTTTGTCACTCCGGTTGAATTTCTTAGAGTTTCTCTTTAAAGAATTTAAAACAGTATTCTTCTTATTATAATTATAATTTTTCATTTAATTATTCTTTGATAACTGCAGTTTTGCCACCTTCTTTGAAACTAGACAGGTTTAGGTCAAAATTATAAAATCTGCAAGCTTTTTATATTCCTTACACAAGAGAATAGTATAGCAAGCACTGCTCATTGATGTAAAGCATGTAGGCCTGCCTAGAGAGAGATCAGATCTGTTTTGGTTTTAAATAGAAGACCCAGGCCCAAACAACTGCTCCCTTAAGCTCCATGAGAATTTTACTAAGATTTGTGAAAATTATGTGGGGGAGAGCACAGGTATAAACAACGTGAACTCTTCAGTACGGTTGGCACAAAACTTTAAAAGTGATGCACATCTGTATAAAAGAAAATGTGTGGAAGATTTCTCCATAGAGGGTCACAGTATTGAAGCGGTTTTTTCCTGAGCAGTTGAATACCTCTGGGGGCAGAATTTTAATGACAAGTAACCTGGTTTGTTTTAGAAGTGGATGCCCTCTGTAATGTTTATTTACAGTGTTATAAATTACTCAATACCGTTTAATTTTTCCCCCCATCTCATTTTTCTTTTCTAAACAGGATATTAATTGCCTTCTGCAATTTTGCCTCCCATGTCATTTTCCAGAAATTTAATCAATTTAATCTTGGGTTTCCAAGAGAAGACTGTTCTTATTTGACAAAAGAAGTGACATATTGAAGTCGTTAACATGTAATGAAAGACTTCTACTAAAGAAATGCAAACGAATCAAGTTTCTTTTTTTGAGAAATACCAGCACCTCCTTCCCTACTGTTTAGATTTATTTGGTTACCAAAGCTGGGCCTCTTTTCCTTCCATTACCAGGCCAATTTTTCTGTTCTTTGTATTTTCTAAACCACAGCATCTCATCACCACAGAGAGTGGAGCAAAACATAAGTTACAGGATAACTGTTGAAGTTGCCCAAATCTAGGTAATCAAGAGTTGACTACACAAATTATATACTAAAAGTCAGACTTGAAAATGCACACGTTCCTGAGAAGTTACATTAAAAAAAAAAAAAAAGTGATATAAAGCAGTGGCTTCTTCAGGATCTTTTAAAATTTTAAAATAGAATTTTGAACCATGAGTGGTAATGTTTTGCCACCCAGCTTACTACAGAGCAAGTTTATTTCCAATAACGAAATACTTATAATATTGGGAAATATGTAGGGCTCTCGGACAAAGCTGTTATGGAGAAAAACATGATTTCATGTAGTTCAGCTTCCTGTGTAGGTTGCTATTAACAAAAGTAGTTGTTTTATGTGTTTACTTGGTACTAATATATAGTTTGATATACATATTCAAGTTTTAATATCATTGTTTTTTGTATTTATTTATTTATTTACTTACTTATGGCTGCGCTGCACTGCATGTGGGGTCATAGTTCCCCGACCAGGGATCGAACCTGTGTCCCCTACAGTGGAAGCGCAGAGCCCTAACCATTGGACCACCAGGGAATTCCCTTAATATTATTCATGTAAATTTTATATTTACTCCCTTTTCATGTTTTAACTTTGTACTGTTATTATACTTCAGTTATGTTTTAGGGTCCTCTGAAAAGCAAATTGTGTCAGAAGATAAAGAGCTTTTTAATCTTGAAAGCCGAGTTGAAATAGAAAAATCTCTGAAGCAGGTAATCTTGTTCTGCACTTTTTGTATCTTTGTATGAACAACTTGCAGTCAGTGACCAAGTGCTCCTCCACGAATAATCCTTAATGTGTTTTCTGTTTTGACCTTAGCACTTTCATGGTAAGAGAGTGCTTATTTTATTTTATTCTTATTTATTTATTTCAGTTGTTAGTAAAGTTGATTTTGGGGGGAGCCAAACTACAAATTAAGCTAAAGCTTTATCAAAAAAATAATAAAGAAGACATTTCATACTAAAATCAAAGTAGCATATATTTCTAAAACTATTCAAATAGAAATATATCTTCTTAAATCAATATTTCGCGGTAAAAATAGCCTTGTTTTTGAATGTTAACATCCTCTCACAGATAGGCAAGATAGTGATGAATGTATTAAAAAGCTACAGATCAGAGGTTGAGAACTACTGTTAATAAACTTATGTCTTATTTAAATGGAATTCTGTTAAATACTTAATATCTATGTGTAATGCATAACATGTTCAGAAATTGTATTAATGAATATTTTAATCATATTTAACCATGTATGATTTTAATCATATATATTTTTTTAATATTCTTATTTCAATTCAATAGATGGAAGATGTTTTGAAAGCATTGCAAACAAAGCTTTGGGAGGTTGAATCAAAATTGCCCTTTACTAGCTGCAAAAGCTGAAATCTGTTCCAAGTCTCCCGTTCTGGAGTCCTTCGCTGATGGACAATTGTTTCATATGTAGCAATTCTTGTTATAATTTACTTCACTTAGAACTGAAAGAATTCAAAATGGTCATGTACTTTACATTCTCTTGAACTGATCAACTGATCAAGTGAGAAGAATTGTAGAATTACTTTTCCAGCTGTATTTGATGGTAAAAAGATGATTATTTCCTAAATTCCAATTTTAAAGTCATGATGCTCCCTGGAAGTGAAATTTAGTAGTTTTTATTTTGATAAACTGCCATAATTTTCTGAACGGTTTTCTCCTCAGTACCAAATTTGTTATTCTTTATTTCTTTTTTTTTTAAACTTTATTTCACCTTTAATACTTTGAACAATATTTAATATTGGGTGGTAAGAAAATCTTAGAAGTTTTCCCACCCACTGTGTGGTTGAGTCTCCTCTGAAAACTAATACGTACAGCTCTGTGGAGAAACTGGTCAGTTGAATTATTTGTCAGAACTATTCAAAACCTTGCACAAGAGCAGAATAGTATGTATTCTAGTGGCGGTAGAATTCCACTTGATCCTGTTTATTTACTACTATATGCCAAAACAACCTGGCAGAATATTTACCAAAAAGAGTAGTAATCATTTCTGAGGGTGGGGTTCTGGGGAAGTTTTCAGTTTTCCAGTTTTCTATAATGTAAGACTTAGAGTAAGCACATGTTATTTTTATAATGAGGGAGAAAATAAAGATTAAAACAAAGTGCTTTACAGTTGATTTTTCCAAAACAGTTATTTACCTGAGCTCAGAAATCCTGGTGTCATGAACTCTACACATTTACTGGGCATGGCAGTGTGAGGGTCCAGCTTAGGACCATCAAGGTAACCCCACATTTCCCCAGGCCGTCTCTGCTTTTTTTTTTTTTTTTTTTTTTTCTTGCGTTATGCCGGCCTCTCACTGTTGTGGCCTCTCCCATTTGCGGAGCACAGGCTCCGGATGCGCAGGCCCAGCGGCCACGGCTCACGGGCCCAGCCGCTCCGCGGCATGTGGGATCCTCCCGAAACGGGGCACGAGCCCGCGTCTCCTGCATCGGCAGGCGGACTCTCAAGCACTGCGCCACCAGGGAAGCCCCGTCTCTGCTTTCGAGTGGACATGAAGCCACATAATGTTGGTACTCAGCATGTTTGAGAACTTCCCTAATTATGTCTGAGGAGACTTAAAGTTGTCATATAAAAGTTCCCAAGTCAAATTGACTCGATCATTGACCATTCACAATTATGGAGTTCTTTTTTGATGTATCTGTCAGCAGCCTCTAATAATTTGAAATTAGGGAGCCGTCCAGGTCTCTTCTCAACACCTGCTGACAACAAAACAGTCATCCTGCCTCAGTAAGCTTGAGGAAGTCCCAGGGGCCTGTCCTTTTAGGTGTTTCGATGGCACTTGCATGGAAGTTCATTTAGAACAGATGGGAGAGTATTTTTTTTTTTTTTTTTTTTTTTTTTTTTTTTTTTTTTTTTTTTCCGGTTGGTTTTAGTCATCCTAGTGGGTGGGAAGTGGTGTCTCATTATAGCTTGTTTTTTGTTTGTTTGTTTTTTTGCTGTATGCAGGTCTCTCACTGTTGTGGCCTCTCCCGTTGCGGAGCACAGGCTCCGGACGCGCAGGCTCAGCAGCCATGGCTCACGGGCCCAGCCGCTCCGCGGCATGTGGGATCTTCCTGGACCGGGGCATGAACCCGCGTCCCCTGCATCGGCAGGCGGACTCTCAGCCACTGCGCCACCTGGGAAGCCCGGGAGAGTATTTTAACAGCGAGATTCAGCTAAATTTCTGGTTGCACGGGTAACAGAATTCTCCAACAGTCATTTTCAGGGCCATTCCAAAGAGGTAGGCAGTTTGGCTCCCTAATTCCTTTTACCCTGTTCATTCTGGGTCAGAATTTCTAGCTAATCCATACATCTTGAAAACTACTCATTTCACCAATGAAGAGTAATTTCTAATATCCACAGTGCTAACCAAGCCTCTCTTGTGGTTTGGGAAATAAACACCCCAAGTGCCTTTGTGGCTTCTCCAAGTGTGGGCCTTTGATTAGTGTTTCCCTGCAAATTCGCCACCCCTGGAATTTTACCTCCAGTAAGGGTCCTTCAGATGAAGTTAACTACCCGTCCCTGGGGTGCAGGTGGAGAGCTCGCACACATTCGTATCACATGGTCTTTGCTGAAGCATCTAAAAGCAAATCCCAGGAAATATATATATTTATATATATAATATATATTTATAAAATATATATCTCCTTGTAAGGCACAGTCCGTATCTGGCTTCTGCCTGTGATGTCGCTGAAGGGATGGCCTTGCCATCACCATGGGAGAGAGAGCTCTGAGGCTCCCACACTGCTTACTCGAGGGGTCCATGTGAGACTGCTTTATCCTCCCTGTGTGCTGCTCTGTGGCACTTAGGAGGAGACGGGCCTTTCTCACACTCCGGGCCAGCCTCTCCTGAGGCCACCTGTTCCCTGAAGGCTGGTGGCCTGGCTTTTCTGGCTTTGCGTGATGTCTCATCAGAATGCTATTTTTTTTTTTTTTAACTTGCCTTACATAGCCACATACTAAAAGCTATGACTTGAGGCGTGAGTTCTTGTTTCTGTTCCTTATCACTGAATAATGCTGTGTGCTGTTGTTTCTGGTTACTAAGCCCTGGCAGAGCACTACCCATGAGCAGGAGTAAGCGTCCTGAAGCAAGAAATGGACATTCCAGTGCAAATTGCACAGGACTCAACAAAGAGGCTTCAGATAGGATCTACCCAGAATTTGTTTCTTCAGCCATCTCTGTGAAAGGGTACTACCCAGTCCTTTAAGGAGAAGCTATGGAGGCTAGTATCAGGGTCTGTTACATGACATTTACAGATGGTTGTAAATGCATGTGTGTAGAACATTGTACACGGTTTTCATCCCAGAGTGTGGGTTCTGCTGTTCTCAGCAAGCTATCCTGTTATGTTCATAAACTTCCAAGCTGAAGCGCTTGCTCTGGGGGTTGCTTGTGTAGGATTGATACCTGAATGGAGTGCGTCCTCCCTGGTGATTCTAGTCAGGCTTCCGGAATTTAAAATGGGCAAAACCAGGAGAGTGCCTCCTTGCAGAGATGGGTCTGGGTGTTCAGTAGGAACTTCTTGAGAGAAGGGCCCCTGATGAGCAACGTGATGAGATTCTGAGGGAAATCTCAGGGGTAGCAGAAATCCTGGGCTAGAGTCCCCACTTTTAATTGCTTTATTAGCCATATGACCTTGGGCAAATCATTTAGTCATTTTGAGCCTGTTTCCTGTATAATAACCTGCTTCCCTTGCATCAGATATATTAGACAGTGCTTATGGTGGTATTTTGAAAGCTGTAAAGCATCAAAAAACAAGTGACAAAGATTTAGCCTTGTTTAAATAGGGTTGTTCTGGTTTAGTCTTCTAGCCAGTCTACCCATAAGATTGTATGGATGTAAAAGAAAAAAATCTGAAACACCATATTAAAAATATATATATATACACTGGATTTAGTTCTTTCTCTAATTACAAATACATGAACATTGTAGAAAATTTGAAAAGTAGAACAATAGGACAAAGAACAAAATAAAACCCACACACAATCTCACAACTAGAATAATTATTCACTTTTTTGGAGTATATCCTTGTTTTATATGCAAATTTGGAATTGTTCTTGTCATTGTTTTTAATAAAAATATTTTATAAACATTTCTGCATCATTAAATATTCCTTTATAACCTGATTTTTAATGACTACCTAGGATGAAATATCTACTTTAAAACCTGTTTAAAAGTGATCCTATGGTATGAAATTCACACTGTTTAGTGGCTTAACAATTGAGTTTACTTGTCAAATAAGAGAGGAGGCATGAAAGAAATCTTCAACCAGTCACCTCTTTGTCTAACGCCAGGGTGTGCAGGAGCTGAGAGCCGATGTTTAAAGTTTCAGGAATTTGTAAGCCAGTTGTTCAATCCTTGGCAGCTTCAAATTGGCCATGAGTAGGAATATTTACACCAGAGAACTTTGCAAGTGCTAAAAAAATCAGGATTTCTTCCCCCCAGAGAGCTGGTTTCCCAGCGCATTACTGTATATCTTGAACCTCCCTCTGTACTGTTTGACTTGAAGTTTGAGAAAATGACTTCTCTCTTCAACACCCAGAAGACCAAGTCCTAAGAACTTTTCATTAAATAAATCTAAAATGAAATGCTGTATCTTTAGACCTCAGTGATTCAGTAGTCACAGTCTTGACCTCTTCTGAGGAAAAAGTAAAATACCTGAAAGCAAATGACTTAAGATTTTATATAGTCAATGTTGCACACATCTTTTTTGTTCTTCCTGAATAAGATAAATTACTGGGCAGTTGCTTGCCTGGGAACATGCAGAGAAAGTTCGTTTGGCATCACTTTTGAACTGAGGGAAGATAATTTACTCTTCATCCCAGACATGTTCTGGGTACTGATGGTTAATTTTGTTTCATGAGAGCTGGGTTCCATCTGTAGGGTGTTTTGTTATCCAGGCCTCTGCTCACGATGGTCCGAGTGCAGTCAAGGCCAGTCTATATCATTGTAGTCTCTTTGGAGTGTTGACACTTGCCTAAAATCTTGTGATAATAGTCTGAGAGGCAGAGAGTATGAAGTGAGGGGATCTGAGGAAGGGGTGTTCTGGAGTCTGGAGTTTTATTGGCCCAAATGTGATTTCAAAGAGAACTGGCCTCATTTCATTCAAATCGGCCCCCTCTTGACCTCTGCGAGCTTGACAAAATTTAACTCGATAACTTTTTTCCCCTAAACAGTGACCACCGTGGTTTTTAGATCCTCTATTTAATTTTAAGGCGGAGAGGGGGACAAGGTAATTTCTCAAGGGCCCTTTCGACCTTACAACTCATGTAAGCTGAAAGGAAACCAGAAATAACTCGAAGGAAATGAGAATCCAGGAGCTGTTCGAAGACTTGAGGATAATTTAGTTCTCTTAACGCCGTCACCTTTGTGTCTCAGCTGCAGGCTTGTAATTTCGGAGACTTCTTGAGAATCATAGAAATTTTGCAAAAGTAGGATGTATGTTCCATTGAGTAACACTTTCCAAAGCAAATACAAGAGTGTGTGACCATTTTGAAGAGTAATCTTATGAAGCCATCAAACAGTTTTCCCTGAAGGGGACAGACAGCTGCTTTTCACTGTCACAGTTGCCTCCCTGGGGGTGGCCTTTCTGTTCTTAGGCAGTATTTAGTGATCATTTACTGTGTACCAAGGGCTGTGCTCGGAGCTCCACCTAGCTTGTCTCACCCCATTCTCACAAAACCGTCTTTCATAGAAATCCTTAATCCCATTTTATAGATGCAGAAACTGAGGCACAGAGAAGTTAAATAAAGTGCCTGAAGTCCTGCTCGGCTGGTGAACGGAGCCTGGGCTTTGC